CACGAAGGGCAGCTGGACGCCACAGTCCACCAGCTGGAAGCGGAGGGCGTCATCGCCCACCAGGCACTGGCCTACCGCCGACGATGTAGCAGGTAGCTGTTTCGCTATGTGACCGGGCAGGGGGGTGCCGCGTGCTCGAGGAAAAATTAGTTGAACAGAGAGATTGGGAGAGACTCCCCCCTCCCCCGTAGTGGTGGTTGTGGTGGCCACCGTAGCAGCTCCGAGCCAGGACTGGGTAGGGCGGTTGAAACTGAAAAGCAGACCCGTGATACCCACCACGGGCAGGGAGACGCGATGCTTCAGACGCCGGCTCTCTTCCAGACAGTAATTCGCGGCAGAACAGAAATCCTTGGGCGTTGGTATGATTCGGTAACAGGTACCAGTGATGTCTGCACTGTTGTAATCCAGTGCACACTTGCCGCCGAAGACAAGATTAACTCTGAGGCAGAACACAAGGATGACTAGGATGGAAGAGGATAGGTGGTGGTGGCGAAGACTAAGCATTACTGATGATGGCAGTTAAACTGGGGACGTTGTGTGTGTGTGCAACTGACCGCTTCACAAGTGCACAACACACACACACATCTGGCGAATGTCGAGGCGAAATTGCCCTTCTGTAACTGACCAATCAGATTGCGTGAGTGTGGCCTATCGCCGCGCCCAATCAGAGCAGGGGAATGCCATATGACGCAAGGTTACAATAATAGGCTGGATTTGTTACAGAACTGGATTTCTGCAGTTGGAAACAAACCTTCGACTCAATAAGGAGGCAGATAAAAGTGGTAATTTTAGCCAGACAAAAATAGGCAATTGTAGATAAATACGCTCGCTACACTGCAAATTTAAATAAGAGCTTGTGGGTTGTGAGATTATTTCCGCACCACAAAACCAAAGTAAATAATTTAACATACTTCAAATAAAGAGGTTTTTTAGAGTGAGTACTGAGGCTGAACACTTGCTGGTCTCCCACAACACTCAGCGTGGAAGCAGAGGTGAGTTCTATAACCGAACCATGCAATAACCTCCCTCTACAGCTGCCCAGTTTGTGCCGAGACAGTCTGAGGGCCTATGAAGAGGA